TCCTGCTTCCTCCCTGAGCCGCCACCCCTCGGGGGCTCAGGATGTGCCTGTGGGGGTCGCAGGCCGCAGGGGCACGGCCTGCCCTGGGCAGGCTGGGGCGTGCGGCCCCTGCAGAGGCCAGGGGCGGTGGGCGGTGCCTGTGGCTCCTGCTTCCTCCCTGAGCCGCCACCCCTCGGGGGCTCAGGATGTGCCTGTGGGGGTCGCGGGCCGCAGGGGCACGGCCTGCCCTGGGCAGGCTGGGGCGTGCGGCCCCTGCAGAGGCCAGGGGCGGTGGGCGGTGCCTGTGCTGAGGCATTTGGGTGCAGGCGGGGGGCGGGCAGCCCGCGGACCTGGGGTGCCCCCGGTGCATGTGGTATTGAAGCTGCCCGGCTGACCTCCTGGGCTCCTACTTCGACGCATGCTGTTATGTAACGTGGGCGTCTGAAGGTGGGCTTTGTGGTCTCGGCAGTGGGCGCACGGATCTTGGAGACCCGAGAAACCCCACATTCTCCCAGGGAAGATGAAGGAAAAAGCAGCGTCCTCCGCATCTACAGGCGGTGATGGGCGGCCAGGAGGCATGGCCAGGATATGGACAGCTGGAGCGAGAGGGAGGGGCAGCCCAGCCCAGGCCCTGGAGACCGCCCAGGAGGAGGCCCCAGGCGGCCCAGGCGGTGGAACGGCGGGGCGGGCGGGGCGGGGAGAGGCCAGGGCCGGTCCAGGCCTGTGAGGGGCCCGGGGAAGGTGCTCAGGCCCACGTTAAAGCAGAACAGGGCCCACCTGGGGTCTGGGGGGCCTGCCCGAGTGAGGGTGCCTGGCAGGGGGAAGCAGGGCGGCAGGAGCCCCCCGCCCCGGCATGGCACCCCCCGGGCACGGCCCTCCGGCCTGCCCCAGCGTCCATGCCAGGAGAAGCTGCCTTCTATATGAGGCGGGGAGGCGGGGCTCAGCCGGCCCTTAGGCTGCTCAGCTCTCGGCTGCCCCTGCCCGCGGCGGACGCAGAGCGGCGGCCTCAGCACCAGCTGGCCGGGGCTGCGCTCACCCTGGGATGTAGTGGGGCTCGGGCGTGAAGAGGTGGTGTTTCTGTGCAGACATCTTGTCGCCTGCTCGCCTTCTCGTGGGCCCTGCCCCGGCCAGCCCGGCCCGCCCAGGGAGCAGCCCCGCCTGGCAACCATTGTGAGCAGGCGCCTGTGGGCAGCGCCTTACGGGTGGGCAGGTGGGGAGCCCGGGCCGCAGACGCTGCGGTTGGGTCTGGGAGGGCAGCAAGCTGCTGGGGGGACCCAGCGCCCCGCACGGCATCACAGCGGGACCCTGGGCCCGTGGGGCTCGCTCCAGCCAGCCCCGTGGTCAGCAGAGGCGACAGCCGCGGGCCCTTCGTCACATCAGCGCGGAAAACGGCCGCTGCTGACCTCGCCGCGGGTCCGGGGAGCGGGCTCCCGGGGCAGGCTGCCTGGACGGTGCTGCTGCCGCCCTGGGGCTGGCCAGCGGGCCGCGCGGGGCAGGGACGCTGCCCTCGGCCACAAGACGCTGCCGCGCTCGCCCCGGTGTCCAGCTCAAGGGCCCCGGCGGCGCCCAGCCCACACGGCCACCACGGACCCACGGAGCCCGCGGCGGGCGCTGTCTGGAGACACAGAGACCTCAGGGCCAGAGGGCCCCAGGACAAAGCGCGGGCCTGACTGCCTGGGGGCTGGGCAGCTGTGCAGGCACCGCCCAGGCCCTGGGCCCGGCTGGCTCCCACCCGCTCTGCCCTTGATTCCTCTTGTCCTGGGGAACCCCATCCCGCTGGCGCCCTCTGGCCTCTGGCGCCGGGCAGCTCTGACCCGCTCCACCCGCTGTGGCTTTGCGCTGCAGCGCCTGAGTGTCCAGTGGGTGCCCCCTGCTCTGGGGAAGCCCCTGGGCCCCTGCACACTGCCTCGCCGCCCCCCAGGGCCCCCTAGAAACTGCTCCCTTCTGCCCCTGCGGGTCGGGTCTCAAGAAGGGGTGAGGAGCCCGGGGCCCGGGGCCCGGGACAGGAAGCGGGTCTGGAGCATGCAGGGAGGGGAGGCTGTCCTCCTCCCCGTCCTCCTGGCCAGGCTGGCCACAGGTGACCTGTGGGGCAGAGGAGGGCAGGGGGCCTCTGGGGGCCCTCTCGGCCACTCCCCAGGATGGACAGTGCTCTGGCCCTAGGGTCCCTGGCAACAGAGGGAGGCCCCCATGGCTGGTGAGGTCACAGAGCCCCGTGTTCCCTGGGGGCAGCCAGGGCCCCCCCACAATGAATTTTGACCAGAAGGCGGTGAAGTTCCTGGCAAGCTTTCACCTCAATGGGGGCAGACACTGGGCCCACGGCCCCCTGAGGCAGGGCCCTCCCCGCCCCTGAGGGGGGCAGGTGGGGGGGGGGAGGAGGCTGGAGGGACTGTGCGGGATCTTGTGCAGGCCCCAGGCCGGTCCGGAGCCGGGGCCCACCTGGGATGCCATGCGGCCCCCGGGGGTGCAGAGGGTTCCAGCCAGCCTCAGGAGGAAAACGTGCAGCCCGCAGGAGCCCCCCCAGCGCTGCGGCCAC